CGTGCACTGCACCTGCTCCCCTCATCCACCTGGGACCCATCCTGGAGCCCAGTTATGAGCAGAGCCTTGATCTTGTAGAATGAAATTGCTGCTAAGTTATTGCTCTGTCCAGGATGGCAGTGTGTGAACTTGGTCCTTGGAGATCACCTGTGTGAGGTTGGTATGGATGCATACTATGCCATATGCCCATGCCCAGGCACATCACATAGCACCCAAACAATGCCCCAAACTAGACCTGCCCCCAGTGAGTTCTGTTATGGGAGAGTTTATAAGCAGGGGTGAGAGTGGAGAGCTGGGGCCAGAAGCTCAAGGCATCTACTTGCACCTGCCTCTCCTTTTATCACCTCAAGGCAGGACAGGCCTAGGCCAAAGGTGCTGGTAAAACAGGGCTGGAAAACATACCCAGTGCTCAGGAGCTGCTCAGCTGTTCTCCGTCCTTGCCCACCTCTGTGGTGAAACGGGCCTTGTTGATGCACATGGATGCCAAGGCCCGTGCCATCAGGGAAGGGGAAGGTTTGAGAGATAGTACGTGACTGAATAAGGCCGGGGCAGGGCCCAGCACCGCTGGCACAGTCAAGCAGAAGCCAGCAATTGCTCAGTGGTCTACCTCAGAGTATGACTTTTGGCTCTGCCCCTGTCCCAGACAGCCTAGGAAGGTGCTCTCTCCCACCCTTCCCAAAGTCTGCAAAGGATGCAGACTGCATTTAGCCTGATTCTGAGAAAATATTGTAAGAGGGAAAGAAAATGGTATGAGGCACCACTGGGCTACCCTTTGTAGCCTGGTACAGTGGGAAAGGCATGGTTCTGGGACCAGTCAGAGACCTGAACAAAGTACTAGACCTCTGCACCTTAGTTTCTGGGGCTTGAACTCAGGGCCTGAGAGCTGTCCCTGAGCTCTTCAGCTCAAGGTCAGCTCTCTACCACTTGAGCCACAGCGCCACTTCTGGCTTTCTGGTGGTTAATTGGAGATGAGTCTCACAGACTTTATCCTGCCCGGGCTGGCTTTGAACAGTGATCCTCAATCTCAGCCTCCTGAGTAGCTAGGATTACAGGCATGAGCCACCACTGCCTGGCCAAAATGTTATATACTTGTATAATTCTTCTGTCTCTCCCTCTGCTGTGTGTTCCCTTTCCTTCTCCTTGGTGCTCCTGTCCACACCCTAGATGCCTTTTCCTGAGTCTTGTCTAGACTTTATCCCTGTCAGGATGGAGAATGACTTCAAGCTGTATTTTCTTCCATGTCATCTGCTATACTAATAACCACTCTGGCCATTTGTACTTGCTTCCTGAAGCTCGTTCACCAGCACAACCACACCTGGTCTTCACAGTCACCCGCTAACGTACTGTCCTCTGAACTCCTGCAGAAAACAGCTTCCCTTTATCATCATTGGCACTGCTCATTACGTGGCTCTTGCTGCCCCTCTAGAATAGAACTGTGATGAAGGCTCAAGTGACATCCCAGTACCCCAACCCAGAGTCCCACCTAGTATAAGCCTTGAAGATAGTATCTTGGGTAAGGCCTCTGACTGTCCTTTGGACAATGGAGATCACTGTGCACCCTGAGGTAGTACCAAGTACAAGTGCTGTGTCATGTGGAGAACTCTGTCAGTAGAGCTGTTGGGTCTAGGATGTATCCTGTAGCCAGGGGCAACAGTATAGAAGGATTTGGGCATTTGTCCTGGAGGACGTGTATACCACGAGTGCTGAGCCTGCTCAGCCACAGATCCCTGACGTGCCATCCTCAATCCTTATCAGGGCCGGCTGACAGATGGGAAGGGGAAGACCATTGACTGTAAGGACGCCATCTTCATCATGACCTCCAATGTGGCCAGTGAAGAGATTGCACAGCACGCGCTACAGCTGAGGCAAGAAGCTCTGGAGTTGAGCCGTAACCGCATTGCCGAAAACCTTGGTAAGGTGTATGACCTGAGCTGTCTCAGCAAGTGATTGGGCCCCAGCCTCCTGGGGACAGATGCTATTAGTGTCTTGGGCTCAGGTGAGGTCCTAGAGCAGCCACCAGGCACCATACCAGAGAGTGGAGGGGACAGACAAGTGTTCCCCTTTCTCAGGAAGATAGTACCCGTTCTGTGTACCAATCTGCTAGGTGACAGAGTCACTCAAGTATTTTGAGGATGTACACTCAGTAGGGACTCTGAGGGCATGGAAGGTCAGAAACTAGATGTATTTTGACAGTCTTTTGAGCAGGGAGGTGGCTGGCTGGCTTCCTGTGTATGTGGGCCCTGGATAATGGATCATATAGAAGCTGTCTCTGCCACCTTTCTGCTCAGGATGAGCCCTTGCAGCCCTTTTCCTGCCAGGCTTGACTCTTCTCCCTATGAACCCCAGCATCTGGCTGAGGAACTGCCGGTTCGTGACACATGAGAGCTAGAAGGACATTAGTAGTAAAGTAGTAGTTAAAAAGCTAAAGCCGAGAGAACTTTAGATCACAACAGGACTGGAGACCAGGATTTCTCCATGGGTGGAGTAAAGCCATAGACACAGCTCCTTGTACATGGAGAAAACAGTTTGTGGTTCCATTTCTTTAGGGGACGTCCAGATGAGTGACAAGATCACCATCTCAAAGAACTTCAAGGAGAATGTGATCCGCCCCATCCTGAAAGTAAGAGTCCTTCTTGGTGAGAACTTAGCCATCCTAAGCATAAGCCCCACTGGGGTCCGGAAATTTCCCTCCTCTTCTCTCACCCCACCACTGCTCTGGCCCTGCAGGCTCACTTCCGGAGGGATGAGTTTCTAGGAAGGATCAATGAGATCGTCTACTTTCTTCCCTTCTGCCACTCAGAGCTCATCCAGCTAGTCAACAAGGAACTGAACTTCTGGGCTAAGAGAGTAAGAAGGGACTGCCCATGGGAGGGGCTGGGACATGTGTCCACTAGAATTCTGGGTTGGGAACAATCCTCCATGAACGTGGACCGCCCCCCCACAGGGTTGGGGACACTGCCCAGGCCTCGGGCCAGTAAGAGATGGAAGCACTGGCCCCATGCAAACAGGCCTCTCTCTAACCTGTCTCAGGCCAAGCAAAGGCACAACATCACATTGCTGTGGGACCGCGAGGTGGCAGATGTGTTGGTTGATGGCTACAACGTACACTATGGCGCCCGTTCCATCAAGCACGAGGTGAGCACAGGAGCTAGAGTCATAAGGTACCACCACCCCTCCTCACTGGTGCCCTGAGACCCAATTCCTCAGCTCCTACTCTGCCCCCCTGTAATTTGGGTGCTGAATCTGACTCCCATTTCAGAACCAAAAATACAAGGTGATCAACTAAAAGCACTGTCTGAAGGGTAACCCAAGTATGACCTCTTCCTGGAATAAGAACTGGGCTGGAGACTTCAGAAATGGACATTTAGAGCCTTTAGCCTAATCCTGAAAGCTCAGTACCATTAACGCCACATTGGGGATCAAAACAAGGGTCCGAGTAGCAGGTGACAGAGCCTAGCTCCAGGTTCAGGCCAGTCAGTGATGACCATGTCACGCATCTTCCATCCCCTGCAGGTAGAGCGCCGTGTAGTCAACCAGCTGGCAGCAGCCTACGAGCAGGACCTGCTACCAGGGGGCTGCACCCTGCGCATCACTGTGGAAGACTCAGACAAGCAGCTGCTCAAGAGCCCTGAAATGCCCTCACCCCAGGCTGAGAAGCGTCTACCCAAGCTGCGGCTGGAGATCATCGATAAGGACAGCAAGACCCGAAAACTAGACATCCGGGCACCACTCCATCCTGAGAAGGTGTGCCACACCATCTAGCTCCCACCTGCCGTGTGTGCCCTGAACACCCAATAAAGGCCCCTCACTGTGGCATGGCAACTGACCTCCCTTCCCTGTGCCTTCCCTAAGTGCTGCTGCCCTGCTCACAGCCCCAGTGGAGTGCGTCTGACCTCTCCTATCTTGGTTGTTGGCCCATTGGGTAGCAGCCCCAGTCTCCAGGAGAGGAGCTACCTCTCGGCCCTCCAAGCAAAGAACAGCAAGGTCCCTGACCTGTGCTTCTGCATGGTTCTAGTGCCTGAAGCCACTGGAACTCACTCTTACCATGTTCCCAGATACTCTGTACAGCAGCTAGGCCGAGATCTGGCTGGAAGAAGACGGACCAGGCCAGGACACACCATCCTTGCTGTTGCTCATGTAGTAAAGACCCCAGATGTGATGGGAGTGGGGAGTTGAGTTCTCTGCAGGCACAGAGTTCTCTCATTTTGTCTTTAGCTACCTCTGTGCTGTGCCCTAACATTCTGAGGCAAAGGGACACACAGAGCTTTCCCAGCCCTGAGATGCGGCCAGCATGGAGTACCTGAGCCGCCCACCTAAGTTGTTACCCCATGCTGCTCGGCTTCTAGACAGCAGTCCCACAAGACCCAGTAAGCTCAACTTTGGGGGCTATCAGGCATGTGGGAGTGGGGAGGGCAGAGGAGGGGGCGGCCAGTGGATCGGGATTTGTGCAGGTGGCCCTGGAGCTGCCTTAGTACTGTCTGAACTGCTGTCCCAGCTAAGGGAGCCACTATGTTAACAGTTTTGGACACCATGGTCCATAAGGAAGGCAGGCCACAGCAAGGCCTGGTGCATCCCCGGGCACCACCCACAGTGGCCTCCGCTAACCATTCCATCCACTCTGTGGTGTCAACTAATCTTTCAGAAAGCAGAGAATGGGAGGGAATTGGTGCCTTGTGTGGAAGAAGAATATCAGAACAGGGTCAGGGCAGTCAGAATCCAGGACAGGGCCTATAGACAGGAAGAGTCTGGCTCAAGTGATAGAATGCCAGCCTTGAGGAGAAAAAATAAATCACACATAGAAAGTTACAAAAATAGCCAGGTGCTGGTGACTCACACCTGTAATCCTAGCTACTCAGGAGGCTGAGATCTGAGGATCACAGTTCAAAGCCAGCCCAAGCTTTGTCCTGTGAGACTCATCTCCAATAAACCACTAGAAACCTGGAAGTGGCGCTGTGGCTCAAGAGATAGAGCGCTCACCTTGAGCTGAAGAGCACAGGGACAGCTCCCAAGCCCAGAGTTCAAGCCCCACGACCGACAAAAAAATAAAAAAATTACAAAAATAGTAGAGTCCTTATAGACCTTTCTCCAGTTCCTAAGACAAACATTGCGTAAAGCCATACTGTAATGAGAAAACCAGAACATGACATAGTGGCAGTACTGCTGACATGTAGGACTTGAATTTTGCCTAGTTTTCCCCCTTTTGTACTTTCTCTGGTCCAGATTGGAGCCAGGACACCCCATACTGCACACATTGTCATGTTCCCCTCAGTTTGTCCATCCACTTGTGGCAGTTTCTTCTGTCTGCTCTGGCCATGGTGCTGAGGAGTCCGTGTTGTCCTGCAAGGCCCCTGCCCCCACCATTTGGGTTTGTCCAGTGTGTTCACATGTGCAGACTGGGGGTGGGGGGCTCTGCCCTTGGTGCCTCACAGCAGCCAGTCTGCTCGTGTGACCCTCAGCGTAAGCTGGGGGTGGTAGATCTACCACTGGAAAGCTACAAGTGCTCATGTAGCGCTCATGAGGCCCTGGGTTGATCTGGGGAGATACTGAAGCTGTTCTTTGTTCACCTTACTCTGGGGTTTGACCTTGTCCTCAAGCTTATTAGGCACACACTCCACTTGAGCCAGCCACATCCCCAGTGTGAAGCTGTTTAAGTGTTGTATATTACCTAACCTACAAAGTTTCATATCTCAGTGGCTCTTGCTTTCAAGTATATGTGTTGTATTTATCTAATGCTGGCTTTCTTGTTCCTTATGTATCTGTATTCATTTGTATCCTCCAATGAGGAAGAGCCTTTTCCCTTATCTATTCAGCAATTTATATTAGTTTGAAAATACTAATGTTACTCATTGCGTTATAATTTGGTACTAACAGTTCATTTTGTTGCTCAGATTACCCCACATTTGGCTAGTGTGGACTCTTTCAGCACTGCTCCAATTATTTCTTGAACATGTTCTTGAACATCTTCACCTCAAGATGTTGTTTGAGGTTCTCCCACCTTTCCCTGCCTGGCATCAGCCATTTCTCCCAGAAGATCCTGGTTCCTTTTATTGAATAGGCCAAATGACTTCTTGTTGCTTAGAAACCAAGATCTGGACATTAGATACACTCATTGATACTTAAGCATTGTTGTTTCTGGGCCTCTGAGCAGACTGAGTCAGGAAATAAATGTGTATGTTAACACACACACACACATACAGAGTTTTGTGTGTCCCTCTAAATACTGGTAAAAGGCAGGAGTTCATATTGATGCCTACTGTCTAGTCTAACCATAAACCTTCACTGCATTTTTCTCTTGCTGTCTCTTCTATGTGGTGGGCAGACTTCCCTTAGAAGGTTTGAGTCTTAGATCTTGGAGATCTAAGCAACAGTTACTTCTTCCAAAATTGCCTTGCCAGACCTCCCAGGTCATGTTTAACCCATTTCCTGTGCTTCCATCACATCCTGGCATTGCTCAGCTCACTTGCCGTATGTCTGTTTTTGTCAGTAGAATATAAGCTCCAAGGAGCCCAAATGCTGAAGCACTGAGCTTTTTTTTTTTTTTTTTCCCCAGTACCAGCACTGATAGATGTCCCAGGAGTACTTGGATGGATTTGGGGCAGGGGACTTGCAGCTTGTATACATTGTACAGTTGCTCTGAGACAGAACAGTGTCATTTGTTTGCTTAGAATACTTATATATGGGGCTGGGAATGTGGCTTAGTGGTAGACTGCTTGCCTAGCATGCATGAAGCTCTGGGTTTGATTCCTCAGTACCACATAAACAGAAAAAGCCAGAAGTGGTGTTGTGGCTCAAGTGGTAGAGTGCTAGCTTGGAGCAAAAGATCCAGGCCCAGAAACCAAGCCCCAGGGCTGAGGGGGGAGGGTAGGGGAGGGTGATTGTATTTATCATGTGCCTGTGGCCAGGCATTGGGACCAAACAGGATTGGAGCTCTGAGTCCCAGAACCCTAGAGGGTCCTAAGACTTAAATATAACAACCTTCTTTTTTTCCATGCCCCGCCCACCCCCCACAACCTTATTGTTCAAAGAGAAAATCTTAAACCAGGCATAGTATGGTGGTACATGTTTAAATGTAAAAATATTATCATTGTCCAAAGAAAAAAACCTTAGCTACCACACATGATGGTAGATACCTTGTAATCCTGGCTCTCAGGAGGCTAAGGCAGGAAGAGCTGAAGTTCAAGGCCAGCATGAGCTAGAAAACAAAAAACAAGTGTGTAGTGATTTTTTTTCTCCTAAATTTCTAAAACAACTATTGAAACCTCAAGATAATAGAAAATGAGCCAATCAAAATGAGAAGCTAAAATAGGAAGAAAAACTATACAAAAGATACATTTTTTTTTTTAATTATCAGAGGCCAGATACTAGGAGAAACGGGGAAAAGTAAAAGGATGACATTATCTAAAAAGAATTGTACCATTACCTGACTTTTGAAATAGTAACTCCTCTGTTCATCACTTTAATAACAAAATAATGTTTTAAAAATTTATCTGAGGCCAACCATTAATGGTTCACCTGTAATCCTAGCTACTCAGGAGGAAGTTCAAAGCCAACCTAGGCTGGAAAGGCCATGAGACTCTTAGCTCCAATTAACCACCATAAAACTGGAATTGGAGCTATAGTTCAAGTGCTAGAATATAGCCTTGAGCAAAAAAAGCTCAGGGACAGCATCCAGACCCTAAGTTCAAGCCCCAGTACTGGCACAAAAAGAGATTGGTAGGAAGCATAGTGGTACATCCTTATAATCCCAGCACTCAAGGCTGAGCCATGAGTTCTAGGATAGCCTGGCCTACATAAGTAAAACCTTGTGTCAAGATTGTGTTCTCAGCTCAAAGGTATAGCACAGCGGTTAAGCAGTTGCCTAGCACTAGGCACCACACGTATATAAACTTCAGACAAAGAAAAGGATGGGCAGAAAGCTGGGCGCTGGTGGCTCACACCTGTAATCCTAGCTACTCAGGAGGCTGAGATCTGAGGATCACGGTTCAAAGCCAGCGGGCCAGGAAAGTCCATGAGACTCTATCTCCAATAAACCACCAGAAAACAAAGTGGTGCTGTGGCTCAAGTGGTAGAGCACTAGCCTTGAGCTGAAGAGCTGAGGGACAGCCCCTAGGCCCAGAGTTCAAGCCCCATGACTGACAAAAAACAAGAGAAAAGGATGGGCAGAGTCCTACTATAGCTCAGCTGGCCTGGCTCTCAAACTCTTGATCCATCTTCCTCTGCCTTGAAAAGTGCTGAATCTCACCATACCTAGCCACTAAGTGGATTTTGGATTTAGTTTTTAAAGTGCCAAAAAAGATTAACCCAGTCTCACCTATGATTATAAATGCAAATTTTCCAAATAAAAATCAAGCTGAACTGTATCCTGTTTTCACATAAGGTTAATTCAAGCCGTGCAAGGCTCAGTGTCAGGAATTTACTGATATGATCCACATCAAGAACATATTAGTTAAATGTACAGAGACTATTAATATATATATTTTATAATTATGATTACTGGAGAGCCTTATTTTTAGACAATATAGAGGTTAAAGAATTTGCAAGCCAGGCACTGGTGCCTGTAATCCTAGCTACTCAAGAGGCTGAGATCTGAGGATCAACGTCCAAAACCAGCCTGGGCAGGAAAGTCTGAGACTTTTTTGGGGGGGAGGGGTCCAGTCGTGGGGCCTGAACTCTGGGCCAGGGCACTGTCCCTCAGCTCTTCTGCTCAAGGCTAGCACTCTACCACTTGAGCCACAGTGCCACTTCCGGCTTTTTTTTTCTGCTTGTGGTGCTAAGAAATGGAACCCAGGGCCTCATGCATGCAAGGCAAGCACTCTACCACTGAGCCACCTTCCCAGCAAGTCTGGGATTTGTATCTCCAATAAACCACCAGAAAACCAGAAGTGGCGCTGTGGCTCAAGTGGTAAAGCACTTGTCTTGAGCTGAAGAGCTCAGGAACAGCACCCAAGCCCAGAGTTCAAACCTTATAACCAACCAAAACGAAAAAAAAATTACAGATTTCAGGAGGTTTTATATATTCGTATGCGCACATGCACGCACACACACACACACACACACACAGCAAAAGTAAACATTGAGGAAATCTGAGGGGAGGATATACAGAAATTCTTTGTATTTTTAGGACCTCTGAGTCTAAAATTTTCAAAATAAGTGTGTGTTATGTTACTAAGGTGATTGAACGAGGCTAATATTCTAACACTTGAGCTATACTTCAAGACTAAAGTTTTGAAATAAAAGATCAGATATATCAGAAAATTCTGAGAAGGCATTCTATCAAGTTCTGCGACTTTATGTGATGATGAAATTAAAGCTCTGAGTTACTAAGATGCAGCCAGGCACTGGTGGCTCACACCTGCAATCCTAGCACTTCAGGAAGCTGAAATCTGAGGATCATGGTTCAGAACCAGCCAAGGCAAGAAAGTCTGGGAGACTCTTTTCTCCAATTAACCACCAGAAATCCAGAAGTAGAGCTGTGGTTCAAAGTGGTAGTGCCGGGGCTGGGAAGGTAGCTCAGTGGTAGAGTGCTTGCTTTGTATGCATGAGGCCCTGGGTTCGATTCCTCAGCACCACATAAGCAAAAAGAAAAAGCCGAAAGTGGCGCTGTGGCTCAAGTGGTAGAGTGCTAGCCTTGAGCTGAAGAGCTGAGGGACAGTGCCCAGGCCCAGAGTTCAGACCCCACAACTGGACCCCCCCCCAAAAAAAAAAACAAAGTGGTAGTGCCCTAGCCTTGAGAAAAGAGCTCAAGGACAGCACCTAGACCCTGAGTTCAAGCCCCATGACTGACCAAAAAAAAAAAAAGTCCTAAAATGGGAGCTTAGCATGGTAAAGCACACCTGTAATCCTGCACTCAGGATATCAGGGCAGGAGGACTGCCGAGAGTTCAAGGGCAGCTTGAGAGTGGCCTAGTGAGACCCTGACTCAAAACACTTTTAATCCCAAAACTCAGACTTTTCTCAAAAATAAACACAATATAATCTCAGCTATACAAGGCAGAGGTCGGAAAATAATCCATGGCCAGACCTGGACATGACTCAAACACAAATTAAGAGCAAAAGGACTTAGAGTATGGCTCAAGTTGTAGAGTGTTTGCTGATGCCTAAATTCAATCCCTAGTACCATCACCAAAAATAAAGATTAAAAAATTATAAAGCCTAAAGTATGACAATTCAAATTAAAGATTCAGATGAAAACAACTAGGGAAGAATAATGCATTAGTATGAATAGTGGAAAAATTGTCTTGTTTTGCTGATAAATGATTGTGTATTAAGAAACTCCAAAAAGCAATAGTGAGAACCTATTAGCATTATCAATGGCATTTGGTAAGTGGCTGAATAAAACTAAAATGTACAAATAGTGTTGTTTTTGTTTATTCTACCAGTAATTAATGAGACAGTAAGAAAAGGAAGGCAGATCTACTTGCTCATATATTCATAAAGTACCTCAGGGGGAGCTGGGAAGGTGGCTCAGTGGTAGAGCGCTTGCCTTGCATGCATGAGGCCCTGGGTTTGATTCCCCAGCACCACATAAGCAAAAAAGAAAAAAAGCCAGAAGTGGCGCTGTGGCTCAAGTGGTAGAGCACTAGCCTTGAGCTGAAGAGCTGAGGGACAGCGCCCAGGCCCAGAGTTCAGGCCCCATAACCGGACCCAAAAAAAATAAATAAATAAATAAAGCACCTCAGGGAGGGAGGGAACCATGCATCTGGGGACAGCAATGGAAGGAAAACTGCAGATCCATATACTTCTTAAAAGTTGTGACACTATGCTATCTACTCAGGATTCTAGAATAGTTAAGAACAAAAGATGCCAGCCTAGGCAGGAAAGGCTTTGAGCCTCATCTCCAATTAACCACCAGAAAACCAGAAGGGCTGTGGCTCAAAGTGATAGAGCATTATCCTTGAGCTAAAGTGCTTGGGGACAGTGCCCAGGCCCTTTGTTCAAGCTTCACAACCAAAAAAAAAAAAAAATTAAGGCTGGGGACCTACATATACAAGGCTCAAGTTCAAACCCCAGCACCACACACACACACACACACACACACACACACACACACACACACACACACACACACACACACACACACACACACACACACACACACACACGCGTCCTCTGAAGAATTATATGCCCATATAATAGGGTGACCTATTGAATGAGGAGACTTTTGTTCCCCCTCAGGCTGTATAAAGCCCAGAGATGCTGGGAATGTGGCTTAGTGGTAGAGTGCCTGCCTGGCATGCATGAAGCCCTGGGTTTGATTTCCTCAGTACCACATAAACAAAAAGCTGGAAGTGGTGCTATGGCTCAAGTGGTAGAGTGCTAGCCTTAAGCAAAAGCAGCTCAGGGACAGTGTTCAGGCCCTGAGTGCACACCTTAGGATTGGCAAAAAGAGAAAAAGTCCAGAGAACCAATTTGTACCTGATAGGACAGACACGTGTATTGCTGCACGTGTTGATGATTGTATATGTAAGCACCACAAGTGTTATAAATAACCAAATGGCTATTGGCAAGATAAAGGTTCCTACTCCAGGCCCTAGGTGAAATGGATAAATTGCCAGAAATATAAACCTGCCAAGACTAAATAATGAAAAAACAAAATATGAATAGACCTATAATGTGCATTTAATTTCACATTGTTAATAACAGCAGAAACAACTGAGAAAAGGTGGCCACCACACCTGTAATCCAAGCATTCAGGAAGAGGAATCACAAGATTGAGGCCAGCCTGGATTAAATAGCAAGGCTGTGTGTGTGTGTGCAGGTGTGTGCAGATGAGGGGGTACCAGTAGGGCTTGAATTCAGGGCCTTCTGTACTCTTGTTCAGCTTTCTCCACAAGATGGTGAAAAAAAAAAACCCTCTAGACACACATCGGTGGCTGACACCTAAAATCTTAGCTATTCAGGAGGTTGAGATCTGAGAATCAAGGTTCAAAGCCAGCTTAGGCAGACAAATCCAAGGGACTCATCTCCAAACAAGCAGAAGTGGGAGTGTATCTCACCCCCACTTCTCTATCAGCTGTTAGATAGAGTACAGGACCCGGTCTTTGAGCCTCAGTACCAGCAAATTATTAAACAAAATTTTACTTGGCTCACAATTGGACGGTCCAAAGGTATGGCACCTAAATCAGCTCAGTTCTAGTAAGGAAGGGTGACAAATGGTAGCACATCATGGAGCAGTACATCCTGGAAAGTGCAACCATCCTGAGCCAGAAAGGAAAGGACTGGGCTCCACCTCCTCTTTCAAGACATGCTTCCAGTGACCTAAGGAATCTGCATAGGCCCCACCCCATAAGGTCCATAGCACCTGGCAATACCACCCAGGAGAGCAACTCTTCAACAAGTGGATCTCAACTAGTAAGGAGACTACCTGAGCTTCCAGTGGCTCACACCTGTAATCCTAGCTACTCAGAAACCTGAGATCTGAGGATCTCAATTCAAAGCCAGTCTATAAGACACTTATCTCCAAAATTAATTAGCAAAAAGCCAGATGTGGTAGGCTCAAGCAGTAGAGTTTAAGAAGCTGAGACACCATCTAGCTCCTGATTTTAAACTCTAGTATCAGCAAAGAAAAAAAAAATCTCTTAAGCCCCTGCCAAGACCTGACAGATTCACTGGTTAATTCTATTAAAAACTTAAAAGAATTAATGCCAATCCTCAAACAGTTTCCATAAAATTGAAAAACAGTACTTTCTAATTTATTCTATAAAGCTCCTGCCTGTTTGTTCTTTCTGTTATTATTGTAAACTTTTTTTTTTTGGTCAGAGACTAAGACTTGAACTTGGTATCTGATGCTTTTGCTCATTGGCGGGTGTTCAACCACCTGAGCCATGACTCCACCTCCACATGTGAATGTTTTTCTAATTGTTAGTATATAGAAATGCAAGGAAGGCTGGGCACGAGTGCTCACACCTATAAACCTAGCCACTCAAGAGGCTGACATCTGAGTATAGAAGCTCAAAATCAGCTCAAGCAGACACATCCAAAAGACTCTTATCTACAATTAACCAGCAAAATTTGTAAGTAGAGGTGTGGTTCAAGTGGTGGAGCACCAGCTGTGAGAGAAAAAGTTTAGAGAGTTTTCAAGTCCCAGTACCCATAACCAAAAACAAAAAAAGAATTGGAGTTGGGTGCTGGTTCTCATTCCTGTCATCATAGCTACATTAAAGGCTGAAATGCAGTTCTAGGCCCGCCCAGGCAGAAAAGTTCATGAGACTTCATCTAAATAGAAGAAGCTGGATATGCTGACATGCAAAACATCCCAGCTATGATGGGAAGCATAAAGTAGGTAGATTATGATCTAGACATATACTTCAACAAAAAAGTGAAATAGTATCTCACAAATAACCAAGACAGGCTTCATGGCTCATACCTGTAATCCTCGCTACTCAGAAGACAGATCCAAGGATCACAGTTCAAAGCCAGCCTGGGCAACAAAGTCCATGACATTCTTATCTCTAATTTACCACCAAAAAGCCAGGAGTAGAGCTGTGGCAAGTGGCAGAGTGTTAGCCTTGAGCAAAAAAGGACAGAGACAATGCTCAGGCCCTGAGTTCAAGTCTCAACAGTAGCATATACACAAAAAATAAAGTTACCAGTGAAGAAATAGGTCTGGAGGTATGACTCAGTGGTAGAGACCCCGAGTTCACATCTCAGTACAAAAATTTGTCTGGAACTACAAAAGACCCCAAAAATACCAAGAAAAGCTGGGCAATAAAGCAATGCTGGTGGAATCACAATTCTAGACTTCAGACTTCACCACAGAGCTATTATAAGAAAAAACAAGCCAGGCACTGGTGGCTCATGCCTGTAACCTAGCTACTCAGGAGGCTGAGATCTGAGGATCAAGGTTCAAAGCCAGCCCAGATGGAAAGTCTTTGAGACTCTTACCTCCAATTAACCACCAGAAAACCAGAAGTAGCGCTGTGGCTCAAGTATCAGAGCACTCACCTTACGCTGAAGAACTCAGGAACAGTGACCCAGAGTTCAAGCCCCACGACACACACACACACACACACACACACACACACACACACACACACACGCCACTGAAGAGCTACAACATGGAGGAAGCTGAAGCCTGGTGCAAAGGGCAACATGATAAAGAAAATCCAAACACTGACACAACCAAATGATACTAAGGATAAGAAGCAACAAGAACTCTCAATGGTTGCCAACTGAAATAAAAAATGGTGCTTCCACTAGGAAAGACAGCTAGCAGTCATTTATAAAATTAAGTTGTGCTGCTGGGTGCCAGAACTCCTATCTGTAAACCCTAGTTACTCAGAAATTGAGGTCTGAGGATTGCAGTGCAAAGCCAGCCCAGGCAGGAAAGTCTGCAAGACTTTGATCTCCAATTAACCATATGAATCTGCACGTGCACGCGTGCACACACACACGTAGGGCTATAGCTCTATGGTAGAGCACTAGCCTTGGGCAAAAAAAAGTTTATGGACAGCCCAAGCTCTGAGTTCAAGCCCTAATACAGGTGCGCATGCACACACACATACACACACACACACACACAAAACCTAACAATAAATTTTACCATAATTTCCACAGCTTTTATCTTGTGCTATTTTGTATTAGCTTAAACATATTGAAACAGGTCTATGCCACATACCTGTGGTTGATGCCTGTAATTCTAACTAATCAGGTGGCTGAATCTGAGAATTGTAGTTCAAAGCCAGTCCAGGCAGGAAAGTCTGAGAATCTTGTCTCTACCAAAAAGCCAGAAGTGGAGCTATGGCTCAAGTGGTAGAGCACTGGCCTTGAGCAAAAATGTTCAGAAACAGTACCCAATCCCTGAGTTCAAGCCCTAGGACCAACACAAAAAAAAGGAAAAAGGAAAAATAAAAAAAGGCCAGAAGTGGAGCTGGGGCTCAAGTGGTAGAGCGCTAGCCTTGAGCTGAAGAGCTGAGGGACAGCGCCCAGGCCCAGAGTTCAGGCCCCACGACTGGACCCCAAAAAAAAAAAAAAAAAAAGTCTCATGGACTTTTCTGCCCAGGCTGGCTTTGAACCTCGATCCTCAGATCTCAGCCTCCTGAGTAGCTAGGATTACAGGCATGAGCCACGGCGCCCGGCTAAATCATACACATTTTAATTTGGCACAATTAGTAAAATGTGTGTATAAGTCATAGGCCTAATATAAAACTCCTAGAAGTTAATACAAGAGAAATCTAAGGATCATGGTTTGAAGACAAAATCAGGGTTATAATCTTGGGTAATTATGAGTTTTCTGGCTGCAATCCCAAAAACATGATTCATAAATTTCTTGTGGTTTTTTTTTTTTTTTTTGGGTCCGGTCATGGGGCCTGAACTCTGGGCCTGGGCGCTGTCCCTCAGCTCTTCAACTCAAGACTAGCACTCTACCACTTGAGCCACAGCGCCACTTCCAGCTTTTTTCTTTTTGCTTATGTGGTGCTGAGGAATCGAACCCAGGGCCTCATGCATGCAAGGCAAGCACTCTACCACTGAGCCACCTTCCCAGCCCCAAATTTCTTGTGTTTTTGTTGTTGGTTTGCAGTGCTAGGACATGAACTCAAGGACTGAGCACTGTCCCTGACCTTTTTCTCAAGGCTAGCACTCTACCACTTGAGCCACAGCGCCACTTCTGGCCTTTTCTGTTTATTGAATTGAACCCAGGGCTTCATGCATGCTAAGCAAGCACTCTACCCCTAAACCACATTCCCAGCCCCTCATAAATTTCTTCTTTGTTTTTGTCTTAGAGGTCATGCTGGATTTGAACTTGGAGCCTCATGTTTGCTGGGCAGGCATTTTACCACAATCCTTAAACCTTACCTAGTGGTGCATAGCCCTGGTTCCATCCCTCACACCCCCAAAAATAAGTAACACACACTAACAAAAATGTAAGTTAGACTTCATTAAAATTAAATTTTTCTCCTCTGCAAGACACACCAAAAAAAATGAAAATACAAGCCACAGACTAGAAGAAAATCCTTGCTAACCACACTTATCTGATCAAGAACTGGTGGAAAATATACAGAGATCTTTTAAAATTCAACAGTAGAAAAACCACCACCCTCCTTTGAAAATTGATTCAAGACCATGTGAAGTGGCCCAGCTTAGGTAGAAGCTGCCCTTTTGAGTCTTTAACTCCTATTTTCTGCGTAGGGAGCAGGAAATGTCTCTTTTTTTCTGTGTCTCCCTATGTTAA